CCAGGACATTATCCTGCCCACACCGTCGGTCTTTGTCGAGGACAATATGCTGAACACTCTGTCCAGCTTTATCTTCTTCAACAAAGTGGAGATCGTTACAATGATCCAGGACGATGAGCGCTTCCTGCTCGATGTGTTTGCAGTGCTTACGGATCCCGCCACCATAGATTCGAAACGACGCGACACAGTACTCTTTCTCAAGGAGTTCTGCAACTTTGCCCAAAACCTGCAGCCGCAGGGCAAGGACTCGTTCTACAAAACTCTCACCTGCCTGGGCATCCTGCAGGCGCTGGAACTCACTCTCGTGATGAACGACAAGAAGACCAAATCGGCTTCTATTGATATCCTCACGGCCATCGTTGAGTTCTCGCCGCTGGTGGTGCGCAACTACACGCTCAACCAGGCCAATAGGCCAGAGGGGGTAAGTTAATAGGGATATAACCCAAAGCACTTCTAATATATGGGTATCTAAATTTGCACAGGAGCGTATGCTACTAAACATTGCCATCGAACAAATGCTGAACGACTCGGAGCCGGAGCTTGGTATTGCGGTGCAGCTGATGGGTATCGTTAAGATCCTTTTGGAACCGGAGAACATGCTTACTGAGAAGGGCGATTTTCTCAACTTCTTTTACAAATACAGTGTCCAGACGTTAGTGGGTAAGTGCGACTCTTCTACAATTAAAGTTTCAGCGACTAACTGGTTGATAATTGCAGCTCCATTGATGCTAAACACCATGGGCGACCGTCCGCAGAACGAGGACTATCAGACGGCGCAGCTGCTGGGCATCGTCCTGGACATTCTGTCCTTCTGCGTGGAACACCACAGTTATCACATCAAAAACTTTTTGCTGCAAAAGGATCTCCTCAAGCGAATTCTGGTGCTGATGAAGAGCACACATACGTTCCTTGTCCTCGGCGCTCTGCGACTGCTGCGCAAGATAATTGCGCTAAAAGATGAGTTTTATAATAGGTAAGAGTCGCGTCTTTTTATGTTGTTGATTAATAATAAGCTAATTGTTTAATTCTTATCTACAGACACATTGTCAAGTGCAATCTGTTTGAGCCGGTGGTGGATGCCTTCATTCGCAACAACGGCCGCTACAATCTGCTGGAGTCCGCCATCCTGGAGCTGTTTGAGTTTATAAAACTCGAGGACATCCGCACTTTGTGCGTTTACTTCGTGGAGAACTTTAGCAAGATATTTGATTGCATCGAATATGTGCAGACATTCAAGTACTTGAAGAATCGCTACGATCAGTATCAGGATAGGCTCAAGGACCGCGACAAGATGGAGAACCGAACGGACGGGTAAGTCTTGATCAAGCGCCTTGTGCTCCAACACAATGTGAAAATATTTGGGTGTATTATCTTAAAGTGGCCTGCCCATCATCCGTAGCGGTGGGCGGTTTCGTCGAGATCAGCGCCAAATGGAGGAAGAGGAGGAGATGTGGTTCAATGAGGAGGACGATTTCACTGAGGAGATCGACACTTACAACAACGTCATGAAATGTATGTATATCTTGAGGAATAGTTCAAGGTTAACTCTTCCGCAAAAGTTTTTCCCCCTTTATTAAAATGTTTTCATTGCTGTCGCCCTTTAGCCGTCAGCGAAAAGAATGGCCCGCAAACGCAAAACCAGCAGAAATCATCTCCGCCGCACAGTACGTCGCCGCACAGTGGATTGCTGGGTAACCTGAGCTCCACCGCGTCGTCCACTGCCACATCCGCCTCGTCGGGCGCTCCGGTGGCCAGTGGCAGCAGTAGCCCCGAGGCGATCTCAGCCGACGAGCAGACGCAGGCGGCAGTGCATTTAGCCGCCGCTGCCAACATTGCACTTCAGCACCATCAGCAGCAACAACAGCAGCAGCAGCAGCAGAACCCATTCCAGCAACAGACACAGCCCGAAATTGCGGAGCTGCAACAGCAGCTGAGCAGCGTGGATGGACCACAAAGCCAGGAGCTGGAGCTGTCGCAATCAGCTGCAGCCAGCGCATCGCCCTCTTCGTCATCCTCGTCTTTGGAGGCATCCACGTCCTCTTCATCGGCGTCATCGTCTTCATCTTCTTCGTCCTCGTCCTCGCCGCCCGGCTCGTCAGCGGCCGCATCTCTTTGCGATTCGGCGACAGTGGCCGCCGTGGCAGCTTCTCAGTTTCTCTCAACGATCGCCACGGCCATGGCGGCGTCTGTGACGGCGGCGGCGGCCACCAGCAGCTCGCCCAACCTGTCGCCAGCTCCGGCTGTCTCCAGTCCGGACATCGAGAGCGCCGATGCCCAGTTGCCTCCCAGCGATGACGCCAGCAGCCCGGTCAGTGGAGAGCAGGATGCGAACAGCACGGAAGCTGCCAGCAGCGAGGCGGATAAGACGACGGGCAAAAAGGTATGTTGATAAATCAGTGCACATTTAATCGAGTAATCCATTTAAAAACAAAAAGCAATTTATATATTGGCCTAGACCTCATGTAATGTTTAAGGATATGTAAATCTTCAAGTTTCATCTGATGTTTTAATTTAATTAATTTATTGACAACCCATTATCGTGCAATATGACGATATATTCATATAAAATTATTTTCTGATCAATTGTGAAGTAGTAAAAATATATTTAGGCATTAAAGATTTTCAAAACTACATATTATTATTAGAAAGATGTAGATCCATTACTTATGCGGTTTCCCTTACCATCCACAGGGTCTGGTCGACTACGAGAGTGATTCTGGAGAGGATGACTACGAGGAGGACGAGGACTCCGAGGGGCCACAAGCACAAAAGCGCGCGCGTCTGGCATAGTTGGCAGATGATGAATTCAGCGGCATCAATTATAAATTAGTACACACATAACAGAACACAACCAACCACGGCATACAACAAACAACACACAGACCCCCAACACAACACACACCAACGAATGTTAGGATTGCATTGGCGGCAACGACAGGACAGCACAGCAGACAGCCGTACGATGTAAGATCGAACAAGAAAACATACAATTAAATTTTAGCATAAAATTTATTTTAAAGGAGAAAGCAAAAAACACCTAAAGTAAACGAGAAATTATAAATCTTACTTTACTAAATTAAATAACTACATATAAATATATATATTCAAATATATATGCATATGAAAACACAGATAACTATAAACTGATCAGCATCCACAGTTGGTGTTGTTCGAGACTTGGAAAAGCATTAACGAAACAAACCAAAATAAAATGTATTTAGTAGTTAAATCCCACACAAGAGAAACAAGAAACACAGCAGTGGGGAGGTGCCGTCAGGTGGTGAAGGTCATTTGTATGCAGACAGCATCCATTCGCAAAGTCCCTTGTATCACAGCAGTTAACAGATCCTGTGGAGTTGGCGCGCTGGCTTAAAGTGTCGGTATTTAAAGAACAATTGCAAAATGTGTCTTGTCTAGCTTAGTTCTAATGCTTAGAATTAATCATTTCTACTATCTTTACCTATGAGAACGATTCCCTGCCAATTGCACTATCATACATAGCGCTGTTTTCAACTGACAATTTGAGTAAACACTTCTAATCGCAGAAACCTTTATAAAAGTTTCTATTGTAAACAGCGCTGTAAAATTGTAAGCAACGTAAATATATGGTGTTACTTTTAAATTTATATTTTTCAACTACTCCCAAAGCAGTGAAATATGTATTTCCCTAAGATTGAGTGTTTTTTATTTCCTTTTTTTAAATTGTTTTCTAAATACCCACAATGGCCGCCAACTTGACAAATTTTGTTAACCCCCTTGAGTTAGACGCAGATAACACTTGAACCCAATGAACCTTGTATATAATTTAGTCAGTCTCAATACGCGATTAGAGTTGATAACTGCCCTTGCACCACTGACGCCGACATTAAACCCAAACAATTTATCTTGGATATATCGAAAGCTTTGCACATTATCGAGCAGATTGAAATTGAAACTCTTGTTGGTAAAACTTGAGAAGCGTTGTCTGACTGTGTAATTAAAAACAATTGTTGCGCTACCCTTGCATTATTGAAACACACTCACCACACACACATCAATAAATAAATAATTATAATGATAACAAATAGAACGTAAAGTTAAACTAAAGTGGGGTAAAAAACGAACATCAGCAAACCAATAACAATAAAGTAAAGTAAAATAGTCTTCTTGAGTTTTCGTGTAAGTTTTTTTTTTCGTATTTAACGATAATATTAATTTGTATTAAACGAATGTAGTAGGGCTCACTTGGAACCACTCTACTCCACTCTCCACCCAACGCATACATACGCTCGCTCACACTTAAACCAATCGACATCCCACAACCACAATGACAAAGTAATAAAGTTATTTGTTAATAATCGTATTTGCCATGTGCGTTGCGTACTGTACTACATTTATTTATTTTAGTGTTTAAAAGAACTTGTCACTGCAAACGGTTTCCTCGAGCAACCGATCGTTCCCCCGCCCAGAAGTCCAATATAGCCGTGGAGAACGTATCCATACATTTATCCTTCCAAGTTGATGTTTTTGTTTGTCTGATTCTGATTGATTGAGCAACCAACATTAACAAGACGCATTCGCAAAGTGCATGAACAAGATTGAAGAAGATTAAGAGAAACCGAAACCGAAACTGAAACGAACACAAAAGAAAATGATAATGAAAACTAAACGTAAACGTAAAGCGACAACACTATAGTTTATACATAGTATTTATATGAATCGTGTATTGTATATGATATGCTGTCTAATCCCTAATCCTAACACACATACCCATTACGTCTATAATTTGAATACTTTATTTAGTTGTTTAAACATCCGTGCGTAAAATGCGATATATATAACTCTATATTATTATTATGAGTAAATTAAATAATAGTTTTTAATAGTTTTTAAACAGAAACAAATGGCTAAGCTCTCAAAGTGTTCTTTTATTTACTATATATCAAACACCTGATTGTCAGGAGGTCGGGTGGTTTTTTCATTGTCATGGCAACCGATTCAAGGACCAAACAAATATGTTTCCAGCAAATGTTGACTAAACTTTTCGGTGTAGTGTTTAGTCACTTCTTTCAATTGTTACCAAAATGTCGGTGGAAGACTCCTGGGTTTTTGATTCGCTGGTGTGCTTTCTGCACGGACCCATTTGGAATGCTCCGCTCCAGACTTTTATAGAGCAAAAGTCCCTAGGTGAGAATCCTATCCGAATATGGAAGCGTCAATAAGTCAAGGATTTGGTGCAGTCTTCGATCCCAACCTACCGATGGATGAGACCAATCCGGATATACTTCAGATCCACGAGGAATACAAGAATCTGGTGGATTACATGCTGGGCAGCTTCATGGAGGAGATGCAGATATCGCCGGAGCAGTTCGAAATGGCCTGTCTCGAGGGTCGTCAGCAGGGTCAGGGCGAAAATCCCTTCCAGTTTCATCAGGTGCTGTTTCAGCAGGTAAGTGCATTTGCCGATTTCCTAGCATTAGTGTCCTCGAGATGCCATCTTTTTAGATCTGGGCCGCCAATGACCTCAAGATATTCATACGCATGATGACGCAACGCAATGTGGAGCTTCAGCTACAGGCCCTAGATCTCATCGAGAAAAATCAATTAGCCCAAAGTACCGCCGATGAGGGGGATGACCGCAGTGCGGACGCGTCCTCGGATCCAGGGTGGGTTATGGGTTGTATTTCGTCGTAAATATACCCGTCTTATGCAATTGCTGAGAAAATTGTACTTGGTTTTCGCGTAATGCCAAATTGGTTTTGCACATATGAATTAGAGCCCTGCGTGAATCATTCAATTTTTTTTAATCATAGTATGCCATGAAATTTTTGATTTGTTTAATTCATTTCTATGTGAAATAAATTGAATGTTTTTCTAATTCATTTCAAATTGAATGAATAAATGAATAATTTTTTGAATTTGCCAGATTTTTTTGTGCTTTCTTTTGAGAACAAAAAGGTAAAAATTGTAACAAATCAATGTTAACTGCTTAGTAAATAAAATTCATGTAGATTTAATCACAAAATTATTTCCCTTTCTTTTTCAAAAGAAATTGTCGTTTGAATTATTTCGGAATTCATGCCATTCATTCATTAAATTCTATTAAACTCAAAATTCAAATTCTTTCAATTCTATTAAACTCAAAATTCTAATTAATTCATTCATATGAAACAAAAATTCAAAATAATTCATTAAATCCATTCATGCAGGGCTCTAATATGAATTTAATTACATTATTTTTTTCGTTTATATTTTGTATTATTATTTAACATTTTTTTATATTTTATTTACTAATTTTCCGGTTTTGATTATATAAGAGTGGCAAGTTCAATATCTGACCGTGATTAAAAGTATAATTTAACGAACTTAAATCATAATATTTTTGTTCATTTATTATGGCCAAAAACTAATATGTAGTTCCTTTAACAGTGATACCGCCTCCGAGGTGGAACAAATGATAGCCAAGACGGTGGCCGACGAGCTGGAGAGTCCGGAAGCGGCTCTCACTCCAGAGCAGGAGTCCAATCTGGAACTGGTTAATGACAAGTTTCAGCGCTTGAATCTGTTCTTCGAGCAGGAGGATCATGTGGACCCCAGCGATGTGGTGTCGCGACAGGAGTACCTGCGCCAGCAACGCGACAAGATCGTAGAGATTAAGAAGCAGACGCGGGCCAAGCAGCTGCAGGAGACCATGTCCCGCGGTACTCCGCATGCTCCGGAGGGAGCTCGTCCCAGCTCCGCATTGGTGGCCCAGCAGCTGCTGGAGAATGGCGGCCAAACCAAGGAGCTCTCGATGCCGGCACCTCTGGAGGCCGAGGAGAACGCTGCCCTCCAGCTCAGACGCAATCTTGCCAAGCGCTTGCGTAGCGAAGTGGTGGAACAAAAGTGAAATGCAGGACACACTACTATGCTCTACTATTCCCATTTATTTCAGATGCTCGGCCAGAATTAACAACGTGCAAAAGGTATTGCGACATGCAGACTAGTTCAGTTGCTGGTTGCACAGGGTGTGTGTCTTATGTTGTACTTGTCTCTCGTCTCCTCTCGTCCATGTCCACACACAGCCAACCCAGATTCGAAACGGGGGATTGTGTGTGGGCATGGTCGAGGGGATCTAATAATTTCCATTAAGGTTTTCGTCAAAATAAACATATTGCTAGTGAAGTGTTGCCTTGATTGCTCTTCTATGTTGGTATGCGATCCCGCAAGTAGGACATGATGGCATCGGTGCCCTTCATCAGGATCTGATGGCGGGGCTGACGAAAAGGATTGCCAACCAGTTCCAAGTGCCTGGCATGTAAAAGTGAAATTAGTTTGGCAATAGGATTATGAGTTGTCAATGAGGATCCTTACGTTATATTGGTCAGATTCCCCAAAGTGGGCGGCACTGCATCGATATCATTATTGCGCAAGTCCAATGTACTCAGACGTGGCATGCTCTGCAGACCCGATACATTTAACGTTTTTATGTGGTTCTCACTGGCAATAAGTATCTCCAGACCTTGCAACTCGTACACGCAGTTGGGGATGAAGGAAAAGCTGGAAATTAAATAGAATGAAATTATATGGAACTCCATATCTTTATATGATCAATCTAAACTCACCGATTGTTCGCAATGTTCAGTTCACGCAGTGTGTTCAAAACACCAAACTCCTTGGGCAGGTCATTCAACAGATTGTTGGACAAATTCAGGAAAGAAATACGTGTAAACTGGGAGATGAACTGCGGCACATAGCCGATGACATTATTGGATAGAACTAGCTCCGTGACCAGATCTTTCATGTGCTGCAGTCTGAAAATAAATGAATATTACATCCATAAACCTGGGATCCTTGATATTTTACAGAACCTACCCATTGGGCAAGGTGCTCAGCTGGTTGCGCGCAAAGTCCACCACATGCACTCCTTCATCTCTGGCTATCTGAAACACCTGATCGGGCACTTCAGTGAGCTCCTCCAGATTGACAGCTAATGTGCGTGAATGACGTAATTTGTATCTACAGGATAAAAGAAAGATAGCAGTTAGTATTAAGGCTGCCAGAATTTATACGATGTAATAAATGGCATATGTGTAAGTCTTGGAACTTGGCGATACACTACACCCAACGTGGATGCACAGCCAAGCGAGAGGATTCCATCTGCCCATAGGAAAACTGCCGATGCTGCTGCTGCTGGTACATAAAGCAATTTGCATGGGAATATTCATGTCGCTGCTGCTGGTAGCTCTCAGGCTCATAAATGTGTCCCTGGGTCCGACGATCATATTCCTGGCAATTCCTCAGCGGTTCGTAGACACAATAGTGCTGCTGGCATGAATATGGACACTGATATTGAAACCCAAGCTGCTGCTGTTGTTGATTATAGCTACAGCGGCGGAGATCAATGTGGTGATCCTGTCTGAAAGAAGAGCTCTATATGCATACCTATCCGGAAAATTTCCGGGTATTTCCCCAGAGTCCGACTGGCCAGCTCCACCTCGCAAACGGGTAACACTAATGCCCGCTGATGTGGAGGCCAAATCCGAGCCACCTCCCTCCTCCTTCGACTTGGCCAGAGCTCTCTCATGCAGCGTTTTTAATATACGCGCCGTTCCACACTGCAGGATGTCTCGTCGGATTGTCTTAATGGGATTTCCCTCCACCTGCAGGCTGATCAAGTGGGCCAAAGAGGACAAAGTGGTGGGCAACACACTGATCGTGTTATTGGACACATCCAGGCGGTTCAGATTGCGCAGCAGGCACAGCTCGTCGGGCAGCTCGGTGATCTTGTTGTCCCTAAGATCGAGTATCTTCAAGTGTGGCAAGTTGCCGCACATAGCTGTTGGTATGGTCTAATATTGTGTATAAATATTTGTCTTTAATATTTTCCCCTAATTAGATATTATAATAAAATACCTTAATAAAATTATTGCTAGCATGGAGTTCGCTCAGGGTCTCATTTCCCTCGAACTCGGGCAGCTCCAAAATGTCGTTGTGCTGCAGATAAAGGCATTCCAGCTTCCTCAGTAGACCCATATCCTCCGGCAAGCATGTCAGGTCGTTTTGCATCAGATCAATCTTTTGCAAGGCTATACACGAAATTGTTGTATTTGGATTAGTAAATACTAAAGGACGGACAAGCACTTACAGCGCATGTTAACTAGATCGGGCGGGAGTTCCTTGATGTGATTATAGGGCAACAGGAGCGCAGTTAGACGCACCAGGAAACCAATGCCGCCGGGCAGGGATTGAATGTTGTTATGCCCGCCGTCCTTTCGTTACAATTGGGTTAGCAAGCAGTTGGTTAGGGGAGAATATATCATATGGAATTAGTCAGATAAGACGCCACAACCAGATTTATGTAAATTAATTAAATGTCTTTTTTTGTTTATTAATTTTTCAAAATTGTTCAAGATCAATAGATTATTAATTCAATTAAATAAATTAGATTAGATGCTAAATTTATCTGTCCTATTAGACGATTTTACTATAATAATTAGACATCGGATTTTAGGTGGAATCGTTTTTTTTAAAATACGATTTAATGCCACATTTGATTGGATACAAAGTTTATTTATTAAGTTATAATAAGATTTAGGTTAAACTTAATTGAGGTTTTTGTAAAAAAATGTTAACCAATCAAATGTGGCTTTAAATCATATTTAAAAAAAACGATGTCACCTAAAATTTGATGTCTAATAATAAGTAAAGTTTATAATTATTAATATTTCCATATCCGTTTAAAATAACTATGTTGGGATTAAAATAAATTTGTAATGTAGGTACTTCATTATCAATTATATTATTCCTAGCCTATACAACTATTTAAATATTTTTTAGAACTTAACTCACCAGAAACTCGAGCATGTGAAGGTCACTAATATCCGGATCGACTTCGTTGAATTCATTGTACGAGATGTTGAGGTGTCGCAGCTCAGGTAAACTGTAGATCGAACGGGGCAGCTGGCTGAGCTTGTTGTGGCTCACATTGAGACGCATGAGCTTCTCCAGCTTCCCGATTTCCGACGGTAGCTCCACCAACGCATTATCGTGCAACTGAAAAAAAATATAATTATATTGTCAGTACTCCAATTAAATTATAATTATAATTCCATACTGTGAGCACGGTCAGCGATTGCAGATTCTCGATCTTGGGGGATATGTGCGTTAGGGTATTGGAGCTCAGGTCCAGGTTGTTCAATGGCACTTGGTTCCACCAGGCGTCCTCCTCCTTGATCGTCAGCTGTTCCAGATTCACGGCCTTGCTCTCCGTATCCGCCTCGTTGATGTCGTAGAGTCTTTCGGGCACTGAAATGATAAGTTTTTGAAGTCAATTAGAGAACGCTTATCCGGGAAAAGCACTACACTACAGGCTTCAGCGCGGGAAGGAGGCTCAGGATCGGGGTCATCCAGTTCCAGCTCATCATCCGGATCCTCGCTCTCCAGCTCGTCCGCCGAGGAGGCCATCTGGAATTCGCGGATCTGGTAGTAGCGTCGCCTTCGCGGATAGGGACCGCACATACAGAACGAGGTGAGCTGTTTCCTGGAGGACGCAATCTTGGGAGCTGGTTGAGATGTCGAGTCACACAACCGATGTCGTTCAGCTCACTGGGCTGATTGAACCGAGCGATGACTGGTCGGTGGACGCACCCCTGGAGCACCTTTATGTCGATCGTCTCGAAGCGCCGATGCTGTCCAGTGAAGCGGCAAATATGTTCCATGCCTTTTTCGGCCGCCTCCAAGGTCAAGTTCGCGATCGCTATCGCTATTACCTCACATGAACTGGAACCACAAGGCGCTGCTGTCAACGAGGCCGGGGCTCCATTGATGATGACACCTCTCCTGAGTGGTTCGGGGTCTGACATTGGACTTCCAGCGACGCAGTTGCTCCTGGGTCACCACTGCTTACAAGCCCCCCAATGTAAGTATGCAGCTACATACTTTTAAGTGGATAAATATAGTCGAAAGTCTGTGACTCGAATTATTTAAGGGATTACGGAATTAAGAATTTGTCATAATTTGTTTTGTTTAATTCAATATACTTTTTCAAAAAGGTTGAAATAAATAAATTCCATAAATAAATTCCAGCATTTTATAGATTCTAAGAACTTTAACAAAAAAGTATTTATATAATAATTTGATATATACAATTTTATAAAATAATATAATAATATTTTATACTTTATAGATTTTAAGAGGTTGGTCAAAAAAGTATTTATTTTTTATATAATAAATTGATTTTAAATGTATACATTTAATGCATTTAATAAATAAATTAATTTAACATTAAACCTAGGTAAATAAAATTTTCTCAAAACAAAATAGTGTCGAAGAAAATCAAATTTTAATTTATAAACCTAAAATATATAAAAACCCTCTTTTTTAATTATTCCGTTTAAATTTCAAAATGTTCAAAACAGAAACGGAATACTTAAGACGATTTCTAAAAATAACATTTGAATAACTAATTTAACGGATTTTTAAAGTTCGAGTTACAGAGTTTCGACTACAGCAATTATTCCGCCCTGTGGACTCACCTCTGGCCAATGCCTTGTTGGAGAGATTCAGGGTGCCCGACTTGCGGGCCAGCTTCCACAGTTGCTGGGTGAGCACCTGGTCGTCCTCGTGGTTGCTCCTCTCGTGGAAAATCGGGCGAAAGGAGTAGCTTGGCCTGGGCGAGTGCGCCACTGGGGGCGTTTGGCGAGGACTCGGGGCGCATCGGGGAATCCTGCTGGCGGAGGCGGTGACCCTGGCGGACGGGTGACCCCGACCACGGGGTCCGATTCCGTTGCTCATGTCGCTGGGGCAGCCGTAGTGGGTGAAGCAGGAGTGGCCAAAGTCGAAGTCGCCGCCGAATGCGGATGCCTGGTCACATTCCTGGGCTCCGCGGAACGAGCTGAACTCCGCGTCCTCCTGTGCGCTGAAGCTGGCGGGGATCACAGGTGAAATGGGGTCAGTGGGACGCTAAATAGCCACCGAATCACAGGTGAATTCGGTTTTGTCCAGTTTTTGCGTCGTTCTATTTTGGTTCACTGTCAGCCGTCAGCTGTTCCCTATGCGTTTTCCAACACTTGAAAGTTGTGTTCTCAACGGTAATTATTTTTAAATAACAAACGACCGTTACTTTTTATGTAAAACTTAAATTGTTTTAGTTTCAATAACCATTTGTTTTTTAAATAAATCATCAGCTTAGTCGAATTATAAAATAAAAAAAAGACAACAAAAACATAAAAAAAGGTTTCTAAATTCTATAAATTAAAATTTTATAAAAAAAATTACATATTTAGAATACATATTCTTAATTTGTAAGAAATTAGTTATTGTTAACTCCATATTATAAAATTCCCTAACAACACTATTAAATTTAATTTAAGTTAAAATTCAATACAACTTTAAAACAATTATAAAAGCCAAATTAAATTAAAAATTGAACTGTGGGATGCGGACATTTAAATTGTTAATGGTATATTTTCTATAATAAGTAAGTTTTTATATACTCGACTTACAATAAATTACAATTTTATAAAGACTTAAATTAAATTTCTAACTACAGCTGCATAAGATTCAAAATTAAAATCAATTTATTACCTCAAGAAGCGGCAACGTTTGAGAATAGTGCACCTGCTCAGCTTTATATGTATTATGCATTGGAATAAATGGAAATAGACCAATATGTCCTTCAGAACCGTAATTGATTTGATCGTGAACTTAAGTCTGTGCTGAGTGTGTGCAATCCGCAGTTCACAAGCTGATTAAGAGCTTAGGTTAAGTCGCTACTTACTTCATCATCTTGTTGGGGAACCGTTTTCCCTCTCTGTTTGGCTTCTGCTTCTGTGGGAGATACAAGATACCCAGTTACTTTAGAGCAAGGTCAGTCGCAAAAGTCAGTCAGTGGGGTGTATTAGATTTCCCTGTACGAAATGGGTGCCCACCAGTCCACCACAAAATGTTGCTTAGCTCTACATATATATTACACCCTCTAGAATACACTCAAGCCCTCCGCTCCCCTTAAAACTTGGTGGTTTACCGAAGCGGCAAAAATGCTGAGCCATTTGTCTTTGCGCCTATTGCCCATTGCAATGGGTCTCAGTCTGTCGTCAATGGACAGACATATTCCACCGGCCTGGCCACGTCGACTGTCAATCAAAATTATGAATAACGCTGGGTCGGTTGCCTCCAATTGGCCGCCTTCGCCATCCACATGGCCCATCCACATCCATCCCCTAACCAAAGTGACGAGGTGCCAGCCCCATGGAGCACTTGCCAGTTGTCATTCGGTTCTCATTGCAAGCGCATCGGCCTCGTGAACTCGGTTTCGGTTTAGGTTTTGGATTTGGACTACTACTATTGCATCATTCACAGTTTGGATTACCCTCGGAGATCCCTGACTTACACTTGGAATACCCGAAAGCAATGGCAGCCGGCGTTTTCAAGAGCTTTATGCGAGACTTCTTTGCGGTCGGTTGATGGACAAATCATCCACGAGGGGACTAAACTAAAAAAACTAAAGAATTTTTCAAAATTTTACCAAGGTTTCCAAAAATTATCCAAAGCTTGCTGACAGAATTTCAAATGAAACGTAGGGTTTATTATGCTGACAAGGAAGTGATTTTTCAATACCTATAAAGCGGAATACTTTGAACATTGGCGATTAAAATTTCGACTCCTCAAAATATATCAACTTTTTTCTAACAATTTTAATTTAGAGTAAATCACTTATTTGAATAAGTCTTTTGTCCTATTCCAAATCTTTTCTTGCAATTTTAAAGTAGCTCACAAAAAATATAGAACAAAAGGGCCCTACTTTTGAGTACCTTTTACTCGGTAAATACTGTAGTCGAGACCCCATCGAGGTTCTTGAGAACAGTTCCAGCTGATGAAATGTTTGGAATGTGGGAAATCGGGCTACCCGCCGACTGGATAATCCCTGCTAATCCACGGCAAAAGTGCAGCTGGCTTAGGGCTCTCAATCAAGGCGGCCAAAAGCGTTAAGACCAACCAAGCCACTACCTTTCTTGCAGGTGAAATACGATGAAAAGCTAAATGATCCCCAATCGGAGCGTCTGGATGGCAATGGACGGCACTATCCCAATTGCTCCTCGGATGTGTGGTTGCGATCCTGCGAGCGGGAGATAGTGGATCCCATCGAGGGTCATCACAGTGGACACATCCCGCGTTGGATTAGCGGCAGTCTGCTGCGCAATGGACCCGGCAGTTGGAAGGTGGGCGACATGACCTTTGGCCATCTCTTCGACTGCTCGGCTCTGCTGCATCGATTTGCCATTAAGAACGGACGGGTCACCTACCAGAATCGATTCGTGGACACGGAAACGCTGAGAAAGAATCGTTCTGCCCAACGGATTGTGGTCACCGAGTTTGGAACGGCAGCTGTCCCGGATCCTTGTCACTCGATCTTCGATAGGTTCGCGGCCATTTTTCGACCGGACAGTGGAACGGACAACTCGATGATATCAATCTACCCCTTTGGGGATCAGTATTACACATTTACCGAGACTCCCTTTATGCATCGGTAAGTTCTTTTTATTCTAATTTGAATGTAACAATGGAGAATGCTATAGTCGAGTGCCTCGACTATCATATACCCGTTATTCAGCTAAATAAGTGTGAGAGAAATGGAGATATGAAAGTAGCAAAACAGTCAGTCGGATAAAGTGGCTCCATCTATCGGAGTGGCCCGATTTAAAACAAGAGAGAACCCTATAGTCCCGACTATTAGATACCCGTTACTCAGCGATGGATGGAGATATAAAACTTTGATCGGGCATAACTTTTTAACTAATAATCCGATTTGAAAAATTTCTCCTACATTTCGATAAGTAATAACAAACACAACAAAATGGAATTTATGTTTAGTATAGGAATACAATGTAATCTTTTACTCCACGAGTAACAGGAATAAGAATCTGTTTTTAAAAAATGCTTGGGGCGAAACTTAACTCTGGTCAAAAAAGTTATAAAAGACATCTCCGACGAAATGTTCAAACTTTATCTTATTAAAAATTATTTTTTTAATTGTGATATTTTAGAATAAATCCCTGTACCCTGGCCACCGAGGCGCGAATCTGCACGACGGACTTTGTGGGCGTGGTGAACCACACCTCGCATCCGCACATCATGCCCAGCGGCACCGTCTACAATTTGGGCACCACAATGACAAGATCTGGACCAGCCTACACCATCCTCTGTTTTCCGCATGGCCAGCAAATGTTCGAGGATGCTCATGTGGTGGCCACTCTGCCCTGTCGATGGAAGCTCCATCCCGGTTATATGCACACCTTCGGCCTGACGGATCACTACTTTGTGATTGTTGAACAGCCGCTGTCCGTCTCCCTGCCGGAGTACATAAAAGCCCAGCTAAATGGGCAGAATCTGTCGGCATGCCTCAAGTGGTTTGAGGATCGTCCGACGCTCTTTCACCTTATCGACAGGGTTTCCGGAAAGCTGGTGCAGACCTACGAATCGGAGGCCTTCTTCTACCTGCACATCATCAACTGCTTCGAACAGGATGGCCACGTGGTGGTGGATATTTGCAGCTACAGGAATCCCGAGATGATCAACTGCATGTACCTGGAGGCCATTTCGAATATGCAAACGAATCCCAATTATGCCACTCTTTTTCGTGGACGTCCCTTGAGGTTTGTCCTGCCCTTGGGTACAATTCCCCAGAGTCAGGGTTCCTCAGGAAAGCGAAGACTGGTCAAGTCCTTCTCCCTGGCTGGTTTGAGTTCTCCGCCGGTTAACCGAACCATGAAGCACTCGGTTTCACAGTACGCGGACATTACCTACATGCCCACCAATGGCAAACAGGATAACGCCGGCGAGGAGAGTCCCAGGAGGGATGCCAAACGGGGTCGCTATGACGAGGAGAACCTGATTAATCTGGTGACCTTGGAGGGCAGCCAGGCGGAGGCCTTTCAGGCTACTGGCGTAATCCGCCTGCGTCCCGAAATGCTCTGCGATTGGGGCTGCGAGACGCCCAGGATCTATTACGAACGGTATATGGGCAAGAAGTATCGATACTTTTACGCCATCAGCTCCGATGTGGACGCAGAGAACCCGGGAACCGTAAGTACTTTTTGGGATTTCTTAACCATATTATATTCATATCATTTTACAGCTCATCAAAGTGGATGTGTGGAACAAGACCTGCCTGACCTGGTGCGAGGAGAATGTGTATCCCAGTGAGCCCATCTTTGTGCCCTCACCAGATCCCCAATCCGAGGACGATGGTGTCATTCTGGCCTCCATGGTGGTGGGCGGTGGTCTCAACGATCGCTATGTGGGCCTGATTGTGCTGTGTGCCAAGACCATGACCGAACTGGGTCGTTGTGATTTCCATACCAACGGACCCGTGCCCAAGTGCCTCCATGGATGGTTTGCCCCCAATGCCATTTAGATTCCTAGATTACTGTTGTTTTTCAGGGGGTAGACCCCCTGCCAGTATTACATGTAGAACTAGACTAGTTACGTTTGTATCAACTTAAAACTTTGGATTCAATACATTCGCAATAAACTCCTGCCACTTGCGCTGGAACACCCGATTAATCTTTCGCCGTTCATCCGAGGTGAGCACTGCGTACTTTAGGGAATTCAGGGCCAGTTGCTTGAGGAATCGCAGATCCGCTTCCGCCGGAGCCAAGGCCATGAAGGCGTAGTAAAAGTCGTAGCTGAGACCCTTGGCACCCCACACACCCGGATCATCGGAGGATATCACGATGGGAAAGTTCTCTGCTATCAGGAAACTGGCCGGATGATTACGCAGATCCCAAACGAAGCCCAGAACTTGATTGGAAATGGGATTAACTTCGATGGCGATGTTGCGCTTCTTGATGGTGGACCATAATTGTGGGTGCTTGGGCAATGCGAAGGCGTGTCCGATGCGCTTTGTATTCAGCAGAATGGCGTCCATCATGTTCCAATCCGTGCGCCCATTCCAATCTGTCAGTTAAGTTAAGGTTAAGCAAAAGGAATATCCGAGGAAAATATTATCTAGATTACTTACTTGTCTCGCCTGCGTGGAAGAAGTAGTTGGCCGTGCTGGGTAAATCTGAAAGTTGGTTCATGTACTTGTTTAGCGGATCTCCCGTGTCCTCCTGTCCAATCAGATCGAATCCTATCACAAAGTTGGGCTTAGCATGACTGCGGGTAAAGAATATAATATAAATCAGTTGGCGTAAAATTAAAAATTAAATTAGATTAATTTGCAATGTGTGAATAAACTCACTGTAATTGCTTGAAGGTGGTTATGCGCCTCAACATCTCATCCTCGGTGGCTCGATTGCGCTTGGCATAAATCACTTTGACGCCCACAAAGTCATGGTGCTTGGCCTTGAACTCCTCCACAATCCTTTCCAGTTCGTTGGCCACCTCCAAAGTGCTCAGAGTGCGATTGTTGTCGTCGTAGAGCTGGAAGATTATAACCATATTACATGTTGTATAAGACGGTTTTAAAGAATTATTACTCACAGGCGATAGTGAGGCTCTGATCTCAGCATAGATAATATTATCCTCACATAGTTCCTCCAAAAGGCGTTTGTGATAGGCGCAATAGGTAGGTCGGTATTTGTAGAGTCGATCAACGGTGGTAAATATATTTTCAAAGCGCTCCCAGATCTTTTTGCGGTTCGGCAAGAGGGCTGGGTAATAAAATTCCAGTTAGAACTAAAATAGGTGAGATAACAGATAGTAAATTTACCTTCCGGCCTGGGACCGTGCATATTGATGTGCTTCTCCAGCTGCCGCTCGTATTTGCCCCGATCCTCGGCATTAATCCGCTCGGTGCACACATTCTGCACCTCGCTGTGGCATCCAGACTGATCGTAGGTGAATACTAGGAGTCCATCCACATTGCGGCAGGTGTACAGATTGTTGGTGGTGGTCAGGTTCTGGATGATCCACCGGGAGGTCACCATTCCTGTGTTGTGTCCGTGTAGGAAGGCGCCCTTCGGCATCTTCTGGATCATCCGGAAGACTTCGCTCTGGCGGACGTATTGCCTGCCCTGAAAGAAGTGCATTGCCGGGGCGTACTTCTCTGGGGTCTTGAGGCCTTCGGCGATCTCCGCCCGCTTAGCGTTCATCAGGATGCTGTTGGCCTTCTCCTCGTCGGATGACAGCCATATATTTCCTCCCAGCGAGGCCACCCTCTCCGCTTCCATAATCTGCTCCCGCAAAGTTTCATAGGCTGTCGGATGTAAAAAAGGATCTTCGTTCTAAGTGTATTTTAAAAATATAATGTGGTTTCTACTACTAAAAATTAATCCTTTTTAATAATACATTTTTTTAATTTAAATATTAAAACTTAGTTTATGTAAATGCTACTTTTATAATAATATAAATAATATAAAAGAATAGAAAGTATAATTTATCATCCTGGTTAGGTTTTTCCTGCTATTACGATCTTCAGATTTATCTTTATGGAAAATTAAAACCTTTTTCCATGTATATGCTTAGTTCTTTTCTGATAAGTAACATTTAGGAAATAATAAAATCAAATCTGAGATTACTATATCGTATACATTACTCTTACATATAAGTTAAGACACGTTTATTTCCATGGACCTAGAGTGAATTCTAATACATTTATGTACTTTGATAAGAAGCTAGAATGTGTTCATATAATTCTTATAACTTTATTAAATAAATACAATAGGTTGCAATTAGTTGAATTAAATTTAAAGTTGATTTACGACCGCACTGCTTTTTAGACTCGTTATCAATTAACTTGGGATACTTTTCTGAATTAAATGTATTATGTGTGTTTTATATAAAAGGTTGGAAATCACAGAACAATTTGTTTTCAATTGTTACACATAACATTGCGCATAAACACTTTAAAAGAGAAAAAAAAACTTTCAAAAAACTTTAGAAAGTTAGAAACACTTATATAAAATGTTATTTTAACACATTATTCCAAATGCTTAGCTAGTCCTTCGATGAAAATTAGGAATTGTAGAATCGAGAATCCTCCTGGACTTACGTAGGTCCGCGGCGTTCAGCCCGCCTAGTAAATGGACTACAAAGGCGACCAAAACACCCAGCAGCAGCATTGCCTTCCAGTAATCTCAGTTCCGTTTTCAGAATATACGCCGCACTTTTTCGATCCACGTCTCTTGGCGATCGTAAACCAACTGATAGTGCCTCCCGTTGAAAAATCTGACCCGTATACGGATTGTGCAATTTCCACTCTGATCATGATCTTGGTCGCTGAGGGAGCAGTGGCATCTCATCTGGTGCAGTAGTTCAATGACGGAGATTAGTCCGCTCTGGAATGGGGCGCGAAATGTTTGAATGCCCCCGGGTTGGCACTTTCGTTGACACTGGCCCCTCGGCCAATTTGCAAATAAATTTCGTGACGTAGCATGGTCAGTGCCAAAATGCCCTACGCCAAAGTGATCCCATATATAAGTAACTCTTCATCACAAATATTATACATATTTTCCAGAAATACAAAATAATTATAGAGCATCACTAGGAACGCTAAGGCCGGACATTTATGCTGCTATCAGCTATATTTGTACACATATAATGTAAATACATTGGGTTCGGTGGGTATATTTTTGCATATTGTTGACTAACCCAATTTGCTCTGTTTGCCCGCCGAAATTATACTTGACATTGAACGTGAAATGGGGGCATCAGGCCATCGATCATAAAAGGGAAATCTCCTGGAAATATAATCTCTTTCATGGGAATTTTTTAAAAACTACAATATTTGCATATGTTATGTAAATATGTGTAAAAGGTGTGCCTCTATATTTTTCCTTTTAGTTTACTAGCAGATTTTCGAAATGGGTCATCAGGCCATCGATCACAAAAAATTAATTTTATATTACTCAAAAAATAGGTAATCCGAATATGACAACTTTAATTTTGTTTATTTCCTTATCAAAATATTTGTATAAATATAATATAATTTTTTTTACAAACAAATAAAGTGAGCTTCATGACAATAAATTTTTTTTCGAACCGCTATCTACAATTTAGTACTAAACAAATCAGTGAACAAAAAATAAACATTACATTACAACGGCTTGTCAACAAACTTTTTGGTGTGTAAGCTGGGATAATTGACACATCGGTAATTACCGTAATTGCCATAAGCATCCCGCCCACTTTATAGGGTCGGGGGACTCGAGGAACTTGTAATTCCGTAGTCGTGTGCTGTTAGAAACCAACAACCGCGTCCGCCAACGTCAGTGAAAATTTGCCAAAATAGAAAAAATTCAGATAGTTAAAAATCAGCGAGCACCGGGAGCGCGCGCGCCTTCGTCATTTTAAATCACTTAATATGTGCGGCAGGCATTCAATCAGACAGATATATAAAAAAGATACCCAAACAATCCAGCTACTAGAATGAAATTGTTTCGGCAATTCCCCGAGTTCGGGAGCGTTGTCAACCGTTAAGAGTCGCGGAGGGTGGTGGCCCCCGGGCTCCACCTCTGGTCTAATCTTTTAATGAGCAGGCTTCGCGGAATGATTTTGTCAAAATTATAGTTTGTTTTTGCTTTTCTTGGTTCGCACAGCCATAGTTTGAACACCCGCTTTCGACGATGGTATCCACAGTTCTAATCGGACACTTCGGGCGAGCGGTCGCAAAAAAAGAGAAAATAATTCCCCACCCGAATTCGCGAGTCAATAATAAATAATAATAAGTCAAACCGCCGGAGTCGAGTCAATATTTGGATAGTAAACTCATTACCAGAGGGACAGGACTAACAAAGAAATCGGAGAAGTAGTAAAAGAACTTCAACGTGATGAAGGGATTACTGGTTTTGCTAGTGCTCCTGATTTCCCAACTTGAGATCCAGGCACAAACTGCTTTAAGTATGATATATTTAGTTCCATTTTAAGTTTAGGTATCTTTTAATACATAAAAAAAGGATTCTAATTAATTTTATCTAATTCATTTCATTTCCAAGATATTAACTGAAATAAAAAATTAGTTGTTTAAAATGTTAAAAAATCTAATTCATATCCCTAGGCTATGAACAAGCTCGTCAGGCTGTTCTCACGGCGGAGGAGGAACTCATGACCGGTGGACACACATATCTGAATAGCCAGGAGGCCAAGGTGGACGATATATTCATGGAGTACAAGCTCGGGGAGTTGGCCCAAGGATTCCGAAATGCGGAACAAAATGCAGCTGCTTTGCATTTCTTTAAGGCCAAGCCGCTGATCGACCGGAGTGCTATCTTCCGGTTCCTTCAGAAGATGCCCAAGGGATCTGTGCTCCATCTGCACAACACCGCCTCGGTGAGTTCCAAGTGGGTGGTAGACGATCTGTCGTACATGCCCGGTTTGCTGCGGTGCACCACAGCCACGGGACGGAGTGTCCTGACATTTCGGAGGACACCGAAGGACCACAAGTGCCAGTCGCAGTACGTCCGAGTTGCCGATGAGCGGCGCAACTCCTTGGATCGCCTGGTCTACGATCAGAATTTCGAACGTCTGATCAACTTGTATACTCCAGTTCCAGAGCGTGAGTCGGGAATATCCTTTTGTGACTATATAATATTTTATTTTATTATCTTACAGTGGAGTACCCTACCATTACCCAGGTTTGGGATCGATTCCAGGACATGTTTGACGTTCTCGGCGATGCCTTAACTTATTTGCCAGCCTTTCGATCTTATCACTGGCAGATGCTCGAGGAACTATACAACGATAATGTGATGTACGCCGAGATACGAACTAGTTGCAAAACGGTAAGTAGGGGCTTATTTTTATGAAATAGAATTAATATACCATGATATAATCCGAACATTATACACAGCCTTATTAGGAAAGATTGGTCCATATTTCCACACATATTTCTTTATTCTTTTCCCGTTTCCTGATTATTTTTATGGACTTAACTTTTTATGGATTTTATTTGTTATGGATTGGTAATTTCCCATAACAGCGAGATATAAAGATTCTCATTAAAGATTAATTCTAGCAAATAAGGAAAAACAAGACAAAATTTTTATAAATCATTCAGATATTTTTTTTAGAATTTATTTACTATTTTGCTTTTATTAGCTTTACGACGCCAGTGGACGTACTTTTCCCCGAGAGCGTACTATTCGCGAGTTGTACAATATAAATGAGAAGTTCGTGAAGCTGCATCCCGACTTTCTGGGCTTCAAAGTCATTATGGCTGTCTATCGTGGATATGAAATGGACCAGCTGAAGGAAACCGTAGAGGAGTTTAGGCAGTTGCAGTGAGTAAGGATATAAATAAATAGAAAATGTAATTTCAAAGTTTTTTTACAGTCAATCTTTGCCCCACTTCTTGGTTGGATTCGATTTGGTGGGTCAGGAGGACAAGGGAAAACCACTTTATAGTCTACTTCCTGCCTTGAGGAACTTGCCGCCAACATCTCGCCTTTTTCTGCATGGCGGAGAGACCAGTAAGTGGTATCTCTATAAAAGCTTCCCTGTAACTTAATGGCATATTCCTTTTAGATTGGTTTGGTGCCTCCACCGATATCAATCTGCTGGATGCCCTGCTGCTCAACACCACTCGCATTGGCCATGGTTATGCTCTGGCCAAGCATCCGATCCTCCTAAACGCCGTCAAGTCGCGCCAAATCGCCGTGGAAGTTAGCCCCATTTCGAATCAGGTGCTGCATTTGGTCTGGGATCTGCGTAATCATCCGGGTGCTCAATATCTGGCCCTCGATGTTCCTGTTGTTATATGTAATGATGATCCCGGGTTCTGGAATGCCAAGGGCCTGAGCTATGACTTCTACTATGCCATTATGAGTCTCGCGCCAAACAACGCGGGTCTAAGGATTCTAAAGACTCTGGTCTGGAACTCGGTGAAGTACTCCACGCTGACGGAGGAGGAACAGACTCGGGCCTTTAAGATCCTGGAGCTTAGTTGGACGCGATTCATTGATAAGGTTCTGCAGGGCAGCGTATTCTAACATAACTTTGTTTTAAAAATAAACAACACAAGTTAAGTTATTTTTAAAAGTATAAAATAAATTATTTTTCTAAAAGTTGGGCTAGAATCGCCTAAAATTACAAAATAATTTTTTTTAGCTAGGCACGTTACAGAGTATTTTTGGAAACTGCTTTTCCATCTGATACCACAAATTCTACGAAACGCTCGCAGCTTTCCGAAATTTGCAGATATGCGGTATTAAAACCTCCCATTCCTTGGCTCTGTGAAGGCAAAGACTATTTTAGTTATGCACTACAAAATCAAGGTCATTGAAATTACAAAATATGGATCCTGGATGATCTCATCCTCCTTGCGTCCAATATAGCTACCCAGCAGTTCAATCTTGCAATATGGAGTGGGATTAAGTCTACCTGCCATTTGCTGAAGCTCCATCAGGTTGCTGTTGTCCATGGCGAATACGTAATCAAAGTCGTAAAAGTCTTGGGCAGTAATCTGAATAAAATAGGTGTAATATTAGAAGAAGATATAGAAGAAGAAGAATGGTAAGTTTATTACCATACGACCCAAGTGATTAGTTTTAAGGCCATGTTGTTTTAGCAATTGTTGCCCTCGTGCCTGGGGCTCCACGCCCACATTCCAATCCCTTAGGCCAGCGCTGTCCACATACCAATCCCCAAGATTTCGTTTCAAAACTAAATGCTTCAGTATGGCCTCGGCCATTGGCGAGCGACAGGTGTTGCCTTAATAATAAGTAAATATTTCATTTAGTACTTGCAGTTTTTAATTGTTGACACTTACCAATGCACACAAACAGAACCTTCATGCTTGCGGAAATGCTGGGAACTGCAAGTTCCGATGACTAATGCAGCTGATTCATTTAATAATATATAAACCGGTTCACGTTTCGTATCAGCATTTATTGGTTAATCTATATCACAACATTTTTATAAATCATTTACTTTTGCAGGCGCTCTTTCATGAAGGCGGCACAAGCCACAACACACTGCTGATAGGCGGTCTCAAAGCCCTCTGCTCCACGCTCCTGAAAGAAACGTAGAGAATCACATTCAGATTATACTAGTTGATACTTTAATTTACTATCTATTTTTACAGAACTTATTACTTTGATATTTTAAATATGTTCTTATATTTACTATGGTTTGCAGAATTTTTCTGACTCCTATCATCGTTTAATCTTTATATGTTTATCATATATTTTGTAATACTAGGAATATTTGTAGTATTACTATCTTCTTAATGTATTTACCTAGGGGTATAAAGCTAAAATCTATTTGCTGGGAATAAATCTCTCCATCTCTACTAATATTTTGTTTCTATTTATCTCTCCTCCATCTCCATATTTTTAAAGACCCTAGTATGACCTGCGTAAGCTTTGAAGTCTGATCCTTATGGCAAATACTATTCCTTCATTATAATGATATTATCCTAGACTTAAAGGACATCAAGAATCTTAAAAAGACAATATCGAACCAGTCTGGTAAAAGATATAATTTGATTCCTTAAAAGTGCCTTACATAGTACGGATCCTCGATGATGCGGTTCTTCTTGTCCAGCCCAAAATCGCCGAGCATTAGGAGCTCGGCCTTGGAGTCCTTGGGCGCCAGGCGCTTTAGCTCGCTCATGTTGTCCTCGTCCATGCCAAAGATGTAGTCGAATTCCGAGAAGTCCTGCTTGCGGATCTGGCGGACGATGTGGGTGCACTTTAGACCGTGTTTTTGCAGGGTGCTAATGGCCCTTGGATCGGCCCGGTTGCCCACGTGCCAGCCTCCAATGGCTGCACTATCAACCTCCACGTCCTTGACCTTGGCCTTTTCCAGAGTGTCCACCATCACGACCTCTGCTATGGGAGATCGGCAGATGTTGCCTAAAAGCCAAAGGTTAAACTGTAAATGTTTGTTCACCATTTCAGTTAAGTTTTCTTTATTACCCAAACAAATCATTAGCACTTTCTTTACCATCTTTAAAACAATTTACACGAGTTTTACAAACAATTTTGGTGTGTTGATTATTCCGGCTGGCGAGTTCCAATTTTTTTGTTCGGTTCCGAATTTTCCAACCCAACCCTGGGAATTTCCAGTTGGCAACGCGGGCAATCAGCTGTTGTTAGCCGGATGGCTTAACCCTTAGGCGGTCGCTGGGAGCTGTTTTAAATAATCTGCTTCAGGCGAGCTTGCTTCAGGAAATTCTGGCATGCAATTTTGCATTGCTGGTAAATTGTCTCGAACGGTGCTTCGCCAATATTCTGCCATAGAAAAAATTTTATAAAATTATTGTAAACTTGTATAAATTAAAAAAAAAAATTAATATATTCTCTTGTGATCTAAATTTAAAAACATTTTCCTTGGCAGTTTACATTTTTAAAATATTATTCCTAAAGTTAAGAATTATTTTGCAAATTAGTTACTATGTATATTAACTATTTTAAAGAAAAAAAATTTGTTCCTTAAAATTGGAGCACGGAATTGCTAATTCTTTCCAACTTAAAATTATATAAAGCTACAAGGATTACGTAATACATGGACAGCCCCCAAAGCCTTTCAATTAAATCAATTTTTTTAATATTTTAACATTTTTAACAACTTTTTTTTACAGAAATTATAGCTAATCGCATCTCATGTAAATTTAAATTAAATACCCCAGTTTTTCAAGCCTTACATAATAGGGATCTTCAATGATGCGTTCATCTGGCTTCAGTCCGAAGTCCCCCAAAAGTAGCACCTTTGCCTTGGCATAATCTGGAGCCATTCGCTTGAGGGCGGCCAGATTGCTGCGGTCCATACCGAAGATATAGTCAAACTTGAGGAAATCCTCGGGAGTCAGAACTCTCGCAATGCTATAATACTCGATGTTGTGCCTGGCCAGGACATTCAGGACCCGCTCATCCGGTCTGCAGCCGCAGTGCCATCCTTCGATCCCTGCGCTCTCCACGTGCCACTCCCCCTGCAGTCCCGCCCCCTCGATTACGTCACGCATCACAGCCTCGGCAATTGGGGAGCGGCAATGGTTGCCTGCGTGTGCAGTCCATTTGCATATTAATTAACGAAAAATCCAAGGATTAAAAAAATATAAGGGTGTTACGCACCCACGCAGACCATCAGCACGCTGGTTCTCTGCGATCTCTTTCCCATGGCTCACAGTTGGATATTTTGGGATTGGCCCTTTGATTCACGAACTCAATTCACTCAGAAATTTGAGAGGACTTGGTATCTCAAGAGTATTTAGGTGGGGCTTAGTATAAAAGTGTTCAAAAAACGTGTGAATTAAAAGTGATTACATTAATATCCAAACAAAGTTGACATGAGAAACATAAAGCAAAGTGGATGTGATTTCTTTTCAATTTTTAAAATGTGTATTCACAATTTATGAATATGAATCATAAATATTTATCTTATATTTATATTTTTGAGTTCTTTTTTCAAAGGTTTCTAAAAGTGTAGTTTTCTTTAAAATGCAGATAAATGTTAATAAAATTGAAATTATTATTAAAGATTGATTTGCTTTCAGTTATTTTTTTACCCGTTACTCGTAGAGTAAAAGGGTATATTGTATTCGTGCAAAAGTACACCCAAAAAAAATCGATATGAATCGTAGGTCAATTTGACCTTTTTTAAGATCATTTTTAGCTTGATATGGGGCCAGGTAAATGTGATATGGTCGAAAATGTAAGAACGAAAATTTTCATTATTCCTGACCAAAACTTATTCTAGTGCGAGCGAGAAAACATGCTTGAAGTACGTCAGTTCGAATTTCGAATACGTATTTCTTGCTTCCACTCATGTCATTTTGCTCGCCATATTGATTCTTGCGCTCTTTTTCGAAGTTAGAGAATCTCCGAGAGAGAAAATTCGGCAAAATGATATTATTTAATGTAAATTTTATGAATATTTCAGGTAAAAATGATATGAGTAAAAATAACCAGAAAATTACCTGGACTTATCGATTTTACGGCGACGTGCTTTTTTTTGTGTGTATGTAACAGCTAGATGAAAGCGTTTCCGACCCCCATAAACTATATATATTCTAGATCAGGGTCACTAGCCGAGTCGATCTAGCCATGTCCGTCTTTCTGTCTGTCCGTCCGTATGAACGCTGAGATCTCGGAAACTACAAGAGCTAGAAGGTTAAGATTTTCCACACATATTTTTGGGCTTCCTACGCAGCGCAAGTTTATTTCAGTCGAGCGCCACGCCCCCTTTAACACCCACAATCGCCCGCTAACGATTTTAAAATTGAAATGTAGAAGACATTTTACAAATCGGACCATTCATTAAAAAGTCATACGCAATCAAAACTTTATATATCTATCTCCCTCGCACTCCCTTTAGCTGAGGTTCAAATATTAGATAGTCGGGACACCAACCCGAGTACAGCGTTCGCACTCCCTTTAGCTGAGTAAAGGGTATTAGATAGTCGGGACACCAACCCTACTATAGCGTTCTCTCTTGTTAAAAACTAGTTTAAACATTTTTCAAAGAGATATAAAGTCCTAATGACTCTGTGTGAGAGATAAGAACCATTACCGGAATCCAGTAAACACCTCTGAGATATAAACAACCTTGGGATTAGCCTGCACTACATAGTCAGCATTTAGTTTAGGAGCAGAGTTTGGCCGTTACATTTTGTCAAGTGGTGCCTGGCTGGAGATCACACCTCTGGCACTTCCGGCTTCCTGATGCCTGGTACTGCACCGCATCCTGTTTACCCACCCTGCGTATTTACTCCGAAACTCTGGCTAAAAACTGCGCTCAAAGCAACTTTAACTATTAGCATTTAATTAAAGTTCATTTGCCGGGCGTCAGACGACGAGGTCACTACCTTCACCCACTCTGTTTGCCGGAAAAACTTTTTCCCAGCGGAATGAAGAGGTGATGAGCTCTGGCCTTCTTCTTCTCCTAGGATCTAGTTTGGGTGGCCCCATGAATATGCAAGCTGCACCTGCACCTGCTCAAAGAGCAGGCTGGACCTAAACTGTGTAATGACTGTCAAGGAGATGAGTTCTTGGGTTCTCGGGCGTGAACTTAAAGCCGATGACCAGGTCTCTCTAGGCAGAGAAATAAACTTGGTTTTTAAATAAATTCGCTTAGAGTTTTATGCAAATTGTAAACACACACACAACCATCGGGGGCAAACAAAAGCCAGACGAAATGGATGTGCACAAACTTTGCCCAGTTGCTGGTAGTAGATGTTGTTGATGTTGCTTTTCCTGGTAGTCGGGGGCGGCTTTGATGGCATCAAAGTGAGCTTGTCGTTGTGCAGACAAATGTTACGTACTCTCGTCACACTCTTACATATGCAAATGTCCCTTTGCCCGGCGCATTGCTGCAGTGCGTCCTCCGCAATTGACAATTGTTGAAAATGCAAATGGAAATGGAAATGCCAAGACATGTGCCCAACAGCCACACCAGCAATTCATACATATGCCATGGATAATGGAGGTATCTCGGGGGCGGAGGAGGTGGTCTAGGAGGCCGTCGAGGTAAAGAGGTAAAGACAAATGCAAGGCGTTGTCTCTACTATCATCATCCGGCGACGACATCCCCTCAGATAAGATAAACGATGGCAGAGTCAACAGCAACAACTAGTATGGAAATGCATGCACTCGCAAAAATAAAATGAGAATTTTCGGAATTTCAATATTCCGAAATAGAAAAGAATTGTTAAGGGTTATTCGTAATCAAGAGGTAACTTGTTGGATAGCTCTTAACTATTGATTATAATTGTAGTTTTAGATATAAGTCATTTTGATAAGCATTTGTGTTACTTATTCCAATGATTTTAGTAAAATCGACTTTTTATTACAAACATGCGCAAATCCACGGTTGATATGGGTGATATATTCCCTCCCACTCGGGCTAAAAATGAAAGGAATTTTGATATTCAAAAAGAATACAATATAAAATTGTTCTGATAGTTTCTTCTTAAAGTTTCTTTGGGAAATTTATTAATTTTAAATAATTAATTAGTTTTGAATACTCATAACAAAAAATGAATTAATTGAAAAAGGTCTCCAAATATACAGAGTAAAAAATTGTTAAATATTTAATATTTCTTAAGCGATATTTTATTTTTAACGATGATCAAAATACTTTTTTTTCAAATCGAAATTGTTTTTCTAAGTGCTCGAGGGAAAGGTCAGTGTAAATAAATGCAAACGGAATTTGTACCCCACCGCAGGCCGAAATAAATTCTCAAGTGCAAATGAGGTAAATGACAAGAGAGGTACGAAACCATCATAACCTCTGACCTGCCACCCAAAAACTCCCACTTCGTCGAGCAGTTGACAGTCGAGAGCAAACATGTCCGAGATGAACAACCATTTTGCATTTGGCAAATGAAAAGCGGGAAAGCTACAACTGGCAGACAGCTTGTCTATGCATCAAGCCATCTCTATCCATCTGGGCCTGTATCTGGTCGTAGTTGGTAGCTGTTAGCTGGTATCTGGTATCTGGTATCTGGCATCCGTATCTTTTCCTCTCTGTCTGCCTTTTGCAGCTTCATCAAATATTTAGCGCCAGGCAGGCGGCTTCATCTCGAGGGGCTGGAGAAGAGGGACAAATAAGCGCATTCATTGTGTTCGTTCAGTGTAAATACGAAACGGATGTAGCACTGCTTGGAAAATAACAACTTTGATAAGTTAAGAGACCAACTCGACTAAGTTAATACTGTAGAAAGGTCTCGAACATTAAAACGCATTTTGAAGATGGATATCCTGTGATCAATGTGGAATATTTAAAAAAAATTAAAATTTCTTTTAAGATCTCAATATTTCAATGATATTACATTCTTCAACTAATGTATAAATAAATCCTCGCGCTTTGTCTTAATTCAGAGATTTATTCTGAGTTTAACAAAGAAACACTGAGTCATTTCCTAAGTATTTTCTTTGTTACTTTATTGATTTCCCGTTTTATCTGTTTCCAGTGGACCATAGTTACTATTAGTATTTTTCCTTCAGCAATCACTGGTTTTAATAGCTTCGAATGGGTATATATAAAAGTCTGGGAACCGTCAAAGCACTGCGCTCCGAACTAATGAATAAAACAAACTTTGAGGGAATCGATTTTAGTCCTTGTTTATACGTAAATTTAATAATCCTCCCACACCTCGAACATAGCAAACTCAATATACCCCTGCAGCAGATGCTTTATAGAGAGCAGGCGAACTACCCTGCAGTAAATTGGGGTTGGGTGGGTGTGGGCAGTGCCAACGACCAACAACGAGAATCAGCGACAACAACAGCAAGAACAACGACCGGCACAGCCAAAAAGCCGGCAAAGCAAAGCAAAACTCCCGCGCATTGCTGGCAACATGCAACATGTTGCTGCCGTACCAGCAACATTCACTGCATTCGTGTGTGTTCGCCGTTCAGCAACATGAGCAGCATTTCAAAAACTTGTTTTCAACGTAGTTCAGTTTAGTTTACTTTGAGACGGCGACGCAGGTGGACGTGTCCGAGTGCGAGTTAAAGAGAGGGATAAACGCGAGCGGAACGTAAGCGGACCGCGTTATAAAAACAACAACAACAGCAGCAACAGCAACAGCAGTTTCAGTGTTTGTCTTTAGTTTTATGGCGCACGCTTCGCGTCAGGTAGTTTTTTCCGAGATATATATGTAGTGTATATAATGTTTTTGTGATTCCTCTCGCGGCAAATGTTTTATGGCTGACAAAACCATCGAGCGTGTAAAAGGTTGTACTACCCCGTATGAAAATCTCTAAAAAAAAAGGAGAAGAAGTGGTGTACATTCTGCGTGAAAAGTGCTAGTGTTTACCCTTTTGCCGGGATTACTCATCATCGTATCGGCGCATCATCATCATTACCAACAACACCACTTCTCGCAACTTTACGAAATCCCAAAAACCAGTATCTGAACCCAAGTATCTGCAAGATACGTGAGGCAGTCCAGACCACATATTGGAATTTACTTAACACGTATGCAACAACGCACCCATACAACCGAAGCAACAACGAGCGGGACCCATTGGATTTTGGAACCAAAAACTACAGGGTAGGTAAAATCGAAACTAATCGGGGTCGCTTCTTGGGAAAAGGAAAACGAAATACGAAATACTCACACTTGTCCAGCTGCGTTTTTCCACCCTCAACCATAAAAACCTAATGAATTCGGACTACCTGTCTCGGATTGACCCTCTGGTTTTCCCTTTAGCCGCTAGAAGATTTCACTGCACATACTATATGCTATATGGTTGTGTGGTATCGGAAAGCTATGGCTATTTATAAATATAGGTACCCTGCGTTTT